TGTGTGTGTGTGTGTGTGTGTGTGTGTGTGTGCGCGCATGTGCGTGTATGTGCACACATGCCACAGTAAGTGTGTGGAAGTCAGTTTTCTCCTCCCATCCTTCCATGGATCCTGCAGCTCGAACCCAAGCCACCAGGTTTCTGCAACAAGCACTTTTACCTGTTGAGTCGCCTCACAGGCCTTGCTAAGTGAGTTTCTTTTTTTTTTTTTTGTAGATTCATTTATTATATACATAGTGCTCTGCTTGCACACGAGAGAAGAGCACCAGATCGCATTACAGATGGTTGTGAACCACCATGTGGTTGCTGGGAATTGTCCCGGGAAGAACAGGCAGGACTCTTAACCTCTGAGCCATCTCTCCAGCTCCTCAGTGAGTTTCAAACAGCTGTTAAGGGTAGGAGGAACTGTATGGTTCCCAGAACCCCAAAATGGCCTGACATGGAGTATGTCATGGATGACATACAAGTGAATGAGTTGATGGATGATGGATGGATGGATGGATGGATGATGGATAAGGTTGCTTGGATGGATGGATGGCGACCTGTCTGGTTGTTTGGCTTTTGTTTTTAGACAGCTTAGCATGAGCTAGAGTTAACCTGTAGCCAGGCAGTGGTGGTGCACACCTTTAATCCCAGCATTCTGGAGGCAGAGATGGGTGGATCTCTGAGTTTGAGGCCAACCAGGGCTTCACCAAAAAACCCTGTCTAGGGATGGGAAGGATTGGCCTGTAGGCAAGATTGTACAGCATTTTCTTAATTAGTGATTGATTAGGGACCAGACTTTTGTGGGTGGGCCGCCCCTGGACAGGTGGTCCTAAGGTATATAAGAATGCAGGCTGAGGTCAGGCAGAAGTGACACATGCCTTTAATCCCAGCACTCAGGAGGCAGAGGCAGGTGGATCTCTGTGAGTTCGAGGCCAGCCTGGTCTGTATATTGAGTTGCAGCGCATTGGGGCTGCACAGTGCAATTCTGTCTCTGAATGTAAAAGGAGTAGGTTAGGCCTTGCACAGAGCCTAAGCCTCCTCTGTCCACTTTAATCAGCTCAGGTTGCAGCAGGGGCGCCACCTAATGGCCGCTTTACTCAGTGACAGTGAGTGCAGAAGCCATTACATTCTTTTCAGTCCCCAGCTGGTTGATTCTGCAGGTTTGGAACTCAGTGACACAGAGGACTGGCTGCATCTAACATCCCCAACTGAAACCCTCTCCCAGCACTCTGAAGCCAGCCCCACAGTCCCTCTCCTTCCTAAAGTCAGCTCTGTTTCACAGCCTGGAGAATGCGGTTCTCACAGGCAGGGCCATGGCCAGTCAACCTGTGGGTCATGACCCCTTTTGTGGGGGTCTCCTAAGACTCCTGGAAAAGAGATTGACGTGACTATTCACAGGAGCAGCAAAATCACAGCTCGGAAGTAGCAACGAGCACAATCTGACGGTTGGGGTCAGCACATGAGCAACAGCATTAAAGGGTCATAACATGAAAGAACGTTGAGAACCTTCAGCTTAGACCCTCTTACTCCCTCCTGTTAGCAGCAGCTACAGAGCAGCAGGGGCGCAAAGAAAGTGGACGGAGTAATTGAACTCAGCACAGCAAAGAAATGAGGATGAATGACTCCGGGGTCACTGGGAGCGGCCTGCATCTCACAGCGAACCCAGGAAGTACGTTTCATCTGGACTCTGGCTCCACCTCTGACAAAACTCAGGTTCAGAAAAGGGAAACCTTGTCCCAGGTTGATCTAGCTGGGGCACAAGAATACTTCTCATCGCCAAGGACCCCACCTGCACATTCCTTCCTGCCTCCTTTCAGGGTCTTTGGAGTCTCACCCCTTCCCCCTTCCCGGGTGCCAGTCAGGGCTGGGAGAAGCGGGGACAAAGTCCAGCTTGTGCTTCTGCAAACATTTTTATCTGGTGGCCTCCCTCCTCGGGCAAGGGCAACCCTCGCCCTGCTCTCCTCCCTCCCTCTGGCCCTCACTACTTTTTCTCCTCCCTCCTCTGCAGGGCGACTGGTCACCTGGCTCTCAGTACAGGCGGGGCTTTTCTTATAGTCATCCAAGGTCTGTTTCTCTCTCTCCTTCCCTTCTTTCCTCCCTCCCTCCCTCACACATGTGTGCAAGCATATACACACTCATTCTGACTCTGCTGGAAGAAGTAAATGAGTCCCCAGTGGGACTTTGAAGACTTTGGGGCAGAGCCTGGCCCACATCAAGGGTTCAGTATGTGGAATGATATTGTTATAATCCTCAACATCACTGTGGCCCTGTGTACCCCTGTCCCCACAGCAGAACCCAGAATAGTGGACTTCTACCCTCATCTTATCTCCCTATTCTGGAGTCAAACAGGTGTCCCCAGTGTTGGACGTTTGGCTCTCTGGTTTCCAGACCATGGAGCTAAGAGGCTAGCCTGAAGGGCCACTCCTCTGGAGAGGAAGCCAAATTCTTAATAGGGGGAAGGAGTCAGTCTTAGATCTGAGGAAGATTCCCAGCTCGGCTACTCTCTCAATGGCCTTGCAGTGTGGTTTAACATCCATGTCCCCCCCACTTCTTCATATATAAAGTAGAACTAAAGATATTTCCTGTGTCTCAGGCCGGGGATATAGCTCAGTTGGTAAGCACTTGCCAAACATGCACGAAGCCCTGAATCCAGTCCGAGCATCACGTAAAGCTGAGTGCAGGTTGCAGCAGCACCCACCTTTAGTTAGTGTTCTGGAGGTGAAGGAAGAGTCGGGCACCCTGAGTTTGAAGCCAGCCTGATCTACAAAGGGAATTCTAGAACAGCCCAACTACACAAAGAAGCCCTGCATAAAATAATAATAATAATCACGAAACAAAGCAGGCACAGTGGCACATGCCTATAATCTCAGCACTTGGGAGGTAGAGGAGGAGGATCAGGAGTTCAAGGTCACCCTTGATATATCAAGTTTGAGGCAAATCTGGCACTTGAGACCCTGTATCAAGTACATGTGTGAGAGAGTGTTTTAGAAATTGCCCAGAGGGGGGCTGGAGAGATGGTTCAGAGGTTAAGAGCATTGCCTGCTCTTCCAAAGGTCCTGAGTTCAATTCCCAGCAACCACATGGTGGCTCACAACCATCTATAATGAGGTCTGGTGCCCTCTTCTGGCCTGCAGGCATACACACAGACAGAATATTGTATACATAATAAATAAATAAATATCAAAAAAAAAAAAAGAAATTGCCCAGAGGGAAACCTGAGTTTAATACATCTTTAAACCCTTTGTGAGGGTTTTGGGCTTTTTTGTTGTTGTTTTGAGACAGGGTTTCTCTGTGTATCCCTGGCCGTCCTGGAACTCACTCTGTAGACCAGGCTGGCCTCGAACTCAGAGATCCACCTGCCTCTGCCTCCTGACTACTAGACTGAAGGCAACGCTGCCTCCATTGCCCGGCATCCTCGTGGGAGTTTTAAAGTCCTGCATGAGAAAGGATTTCTGGTCAAGCTGAACAGCAGGAATGATTGTGGGGTGGGGTGAACATGCACAGACAGGCTGGGGGGGATGAACATGCACAGACAGGCTGGGGGGATGAACATG